CTGTTGTCTGTTCTGTTGTCTGTTCTGTTGTCTGTGTTGGAGCTGGTTGGTCTGGTTAGTGCTGGTCAAGTTCTACTCCGAGCAGCAACAGCGCCGACTACAGGTGAGATCATGTCGGACATCCCTGGTAAATACCATGTGTCATGTGTTCCATACACGGTGTTTGCTCATCAACAACAACATGAAGCTACAGTCAGACCTGGGGGTAAAACACACTCATCACACTACAGCGTCCTGTCAACCACAGGGGAGAGGCCACATGAGACAGAGAGAGCAGCTGTTGGAGAGGTGAAGGGTTGTGAGTTTGAAACCCTGCAGAGAAACAACGGAGAGAAAGAAAGAAACAGAGACCAAGGAGAGGAGGCATGCTGGGAGGGGGGGGGGAGGACGCTTCTTCAAACCTCACACTGCTGAACACCTCTGACCTCTGACCTTTGGTGCTGACCTTTCAACACCACTGATTCACACCTGATTCACACCTGATTAAACTCACGTTGGTGTAAAACATGGAACGGAAGAGACAGAAACCTGGATCAGGAGTCAAGACCAAAACAATTCTTTTTTACCGTCCTCTTGTTGCTCTTCCTGTTCCTCTCCTCCAATGAGATTCTGTTGTCATGGAGATCTGACTCCTCCCCCAGTAGGATTTCCTGAAGCTCCGCCCACTGAAAGCCACAGTCCGTGAGCTGCTGCCTCTGCTGGACATAAAAGGACACAGTTCTTGTGTTTCTTTTCAAACTTGACTTTAAAATAAATGGTTCCAGAGGAGCCCTGAGTCGGTACCGTCAGAGCCCTGAGTCAACGGTACTCACGTCCTCTAACTTCTGCCGCTGCTCCTGCTCCTGCTGGATCCTCCTCTGACGGTCGGCCACCAACTGCTGCTTGTATCGTTCCTGCTCCACCAGCTGCTGCTGCCGATGTTTCTGGAACGCCTGGACGCAGAGAACTTCATCAGCTCAGGAACCGATGTCAAGAACATTAGGCCTTGACGTAGACACGCAGCCTCTGTCCACGGTACAAATCTATGGTTCATGTGATGTTTCTGAGACCATGGTCCCTGGTCCTACCTGTTGCCTCTGATGACCAGAACTTCTGTCCTGACATCCGTCTCTGCTGCCTTCACTGTCCTCAGTCTGTAAACGGAGAAACTCTCGTCTTAAGGTCCATTCTCCAGGAACGTTCACTATAGAGCTGGGGGGGGGGGGGGGGGGCACAGTTCAGTTACAGTTGTACACACTCCCAGGAGACAATGGACAGATCCTCCACCTGAAAGACTGTACCTGGGTTCTCCTTCGTCCTCCGTCACCTCCTCCTCCTCCTCCTCTTCACTGCCACTGTATTCATACTCTGGACCATCTGAGGCCAAACAACAAAGTCACATCATTTCATGACCAAAGACCAGAGGGAACCTGCTGGAGAACCAGTGTAGAGTGGAACACACGGCACCACTGCACGTCCACTGTCAGATATTTCATCAATCCTAAATGGACAGCACTGCAGACCGGGAGACAGAGGAACCTGGTCCACAGACCACCCCCCCCTTCCAGCCCCTGGTCCACAGACCACTTTTAAGATGTTCTGTACAAGATGTATACGTATATGTACAATACATATATACTCTATATACTGTATATACATATACTGTATATATATATACTGTATATATATACAGTATATATATACTGTATATGTATACTGTATATGTATACATACACAGAAATGATTGTTTTCTTTTGGTTGTTTTTCTTTTGGACCAGTGGACCAGTGGTTGAGAACCCACTAAAATAGAACCATGTGAAGTGAGTCTGGTTTAGGTGCCGACATGTGGGTCATAGGTCAGAGCAGTAACGCTGACTCATCAGCAGGACTGCGACCTTCATCAGAACCACATGTGGTTCTGGGGGTCGCAGCACCTTGTTGTATTTCACAACTGATGTGTGAGCGTGAAAAGACCCCCACCCAAACATTCCAGAGCAGGAGGAGGAGGGACCCAATCAGACGGTCATCTAGGACAACATGTGGGCAGCAGATTACAGGAGAGATTACACACTGAGTATTACTGTAGTACAGCAGTGGTCAGGTGTAACTGTCCTGAAAGACCGTGACAACAGAGAGTCTGTTGAAGAGGATCTCTGTCTGAGTCTTCCTTCAACTCCTGCCCTTAAATCATGGTTGTGTTCAACTAAACAGGACTGGGTTTTATATTGTGAGTAGAAGTAGAAGATCATTGAGTTCTGTTTTTGTTGTGGTTGTGGTTGTGCTGTGGGTAGTGAAAAGTACCAGGTCATTACAGATACTACCTGAAACTACTACTACTAAACACAACATCTGGTTAAACTAGTTAAGGAGTGCTGGTTAGGTCCTGTGACTAGGTGACCTGTGACCTGCTCCAGACCTTTCTCTCTCTTTTTCCTGGTTCTGTCCAGGTGATCCTTCAGCATGATGCGAACTTGTCTCTCATTGGCCAGGTCACGGATGAAGGCGTGTCTCAGCAGGGCGTCGGTGGTCGGTCGATGGAGATGGTTCTTGACCAGACAGTTATCAACAAACGACAAGAACTTCTTTGACCTGGAAAGACAGAAGAACGAGAACGAAGGAGACAAAAACAACAGAACAAACACAGACTGTGACCAAGAACCACAACAGTCGGCAGCTGACGGACAAATATATAAATATATAACGTGTGTGTGTGTGTGTGTGTGTGTGTGTGTGTACCAGAAGGACTCACCATTTCTTTGACTTCAGTTTGGGGGGAGGGTTTCGTGGAATTAGGAACAGCGCTCTCATTGGATGCATGTCACACAGAGCTGTCAGGGTAAATGTCAGAGGTCAGATGTGGACTGACGGACAGTCAGAGTGTGACGGACAGTCAGAGTGTGACAGACAGTCAGAGTGTGGTGGTGTCAGGTGGTGTAAGTCTGAACACAGGTGACGGTGACGACGACAACAACGACAACAACAACAACAACAACGACGACGACAACGACAACAACAACAAAAACAACGACAACAACAACAACAACGTTACATCAGTCACTTACGAGGAGCTCCTTCAGCCATCTCCAAGGCAGTGATGCCCAAAGACCACAGGTCACTCTGAGAATGAGAGACAGTGGGGTGTTTACTGTGTCTTTAATGTCACGCCGTGGTCTGAACACAGGTGACGACGACAACAACGACAACAACAACAACAACAACAACAACAACGACAACAACAACGACAACGACAACGACGACAACAACAAATATCATTGACTGTGAACTTAATTCAATTTAACTTAAGAGTAAATATAAATAAAATCTGAAAACAATGACATGTGATCACCAGGAACC